TGCCAAAGAATGCTCCAACTACCGCACAATTGCACTCATTTCACACGCTAGCAAGGTTATGCTTAAAATTCTACAAGGCAGGCTTAAGCAGTATGTGGACTGGATTTCTTTTTTTTTTTTTAATGATATTTATTAAAATTTCAGAGAAAAAAAAGAATTACAGAAAAACAAAAAATAAAAATACAAGAAAAATACAAAATACAAAATACAGAATAAAAAAATAAAAGACACTTAAAAAGAGAAAAAAGAAAAATGGCTCAATCTTTCCATAGCTTACATTCATATCCTTGTTTCCCTGACCTCCTCATACCTCCCTTTTTTGTATTCCAGTTCAATTAGTTAAGTCAGCAATTTCTTTCCCTCTTTGTTTTCTCATGATCCTTTAATTTAATATACTAGAACTTTAAATTTTCATCTATTAACAATCCTTTTTTACATACACCTTTATAGCATTACTGCTTAAACCACCTAACTTCATTCCAACATCATTCTAACATTCATTAATTTTGCAATATTTCTGTAAATAATCTTTAAATTTCTTCCAATCTTCTTCCACCAACTCTTCTCCCTGGTCTCGGATTCTGCCAGTCATTTCCGCCAATTCCATGTAGTCCATCACCTTCATCTGCCATTCTTCCAGAGTGGGTAGGTCTTGTGTCTTCCAATACTTTGCAATAAGTATTCTTGCTGCTGTTGTGGCATACATGAAGAAAGTTCTGTCCTTCTTTGGCACCATTTGGCCGACCATGCCCAGGAGAAAGGTCTCTGGTTTCTTCAGAAAGGTATATTTAAATACCCTTTTCATTTCATTGTTAATCATCTCCCAGAAAGCCTTAATCCTTGGGCACGTCCACCAAAGGTGAAAGAATGTACCTTCGGTTTCTTTACATTTCCAACATTTATTATCGGGCAAATGATAGATTTTTGCAAGCTTGACTGGTGTCATGTACCACCTGTATATCATTTTCATAATATTCTCTCTTAAGGCATTACATGCCGTAAACTTCATACCTGTGGTCCATAACTGTTCCTAGTCAGCCATCATTATGTTATGTCCAACATCTTGTGCCCATTTAATCATAGCAGATTTCACCGTTTCATCCTGAGTATTCCATTTCAACAGCAAGTTATACATCTTTGACAAAATCTTGGTTTTGGGTTCTAACAGTTCTGTTTCCAATTTTGATTTTTCCACCTGGAAGCCAATTTTCTTGTCCAAATTATATGCCTCCATTATCTGATAATAATGAAGCCAGTCTCGCACTTTGTTTTTTAATTTCTCAAAATTCTGCAATTTCAGTCTATCTCCATCTTGTTCCAAAATTTCCCAATATTTTGGCCATTTGACCTCCATAGTGAGCTTTTTCTGAGCTTTCGCTTCCATCGGTGACAGCCACCTTGGGGTTTTGTTTTCCAATAAGTCCTTGTATCTTGTCCAAACATTAAACAATGCTTTCCTGACAATATGATTTTTAAATGCTTTATGTGCTTTGACCTTATCATACCACAGATATGCATGCCATCCAAATACATTGTTAAAACCTTCTAGATCCAAAATGTCTGTGTTTTCAAGAAGCAGCCATTCTTTCAACCAGCAAAAAGCTGCTGATTCATAGTAAAGTTTAAAGTCTGGCAGGGCAAATCCACCTCTTTCCTTTGCATCTGTTAATATTTTAAATTTTATTCTAGGCTTCTTGCCCTGCCAGACAAATCTAGAAATATCTCTCTGCCACCTCTTGAAACAGTCCATTTTGTCCACAATTTGCAATGTTCGAAACAAAAACAACATTCTAGGTAATACATTCATTTTTATCGCAGCAATACGGCCCAGCAGTGAAAGTTTCAAATTTGACCAAATTTCTAAATCTTTTTTCACTTCAGCCCATCATTTTTCATAGTTGTCTTTCATTTTTTGCTGTCATGTTAATCCCCAGGTATTTAACTTTCTTAGCCACTGTTAAACCTGTCTCATTCTGAAACCTCTCTCTCTCAATTGGTGTTAAGTTTTTCTCTAAAACCTTGGTTTTTAACTTATTAAATTTAAATCCTGCAACCTGACCAAATTCTTGAATCAGTTATAAAACCCTTTTGGTACTAGATTCTGGCTCCTGTAACGTCAATACTAAGTCATCTGCAAATGCTCTCAATTTGTACTGTTTGGCTCCGACATATATACCTTTAACCAACTGGTCCCTTCTAATCATGTTCAACAAAACCTCCAGGACCGATATAAAAAGCAATGGGGAGATTGGGCAACCTTGTCGTGTCCCTTTTTCTATCTTAAATTCTTCCATCACCACATTATTTACAATTAATTTAGCCTTTTGTTCAGAATATATTGCACTTATACCGTTTTCAAAGCCTTGGCCTACCCCCATACCCTGTAAGTTCTTCTGTGCAAGCTGGATTTCAAAGGGGCAGAGGAACCAGAGACCAAATTGCAAACATGCGCTGGATTATGGAGAAAGCTAGAGAGTTCCAGAAAGACATCTACTTCTGCTTCATTGACTATGCAAAAGCCTTTGACTGTGTCGACCACAGCAAACTATGGCAAGTTCTTAAAGAAATGGGAGTGCCTGATCACCTCATCTGTCTCCTGAGAAATCTCTATGTGGGCCAAGAAGCTACAGTTCGAACTGGATATGGAACAACTGGTTGGTTCAAAATTGGGAAAAGAGTACAGCAAGGCTGTATATTGTCTCCCTGCTTATTTAACTTATATGCAGAATTCATCATGCGAAAGACTGGGCTGGATGAATCCCAAACCGGAATTAAGATTGCCGGAAGAAATATCAACAACCTCAGATATGCAGATGACACAACCTTGATGGCAGAAAGTGAGGAGGAATTAAAGAACCTTTTAATGAGGGTGAAAGAGGAGAGCGCAAAATATGGTCTGAAGCTCAACATCAAAAAAACGAAGATCATGGCCACTGGGCCTATCACCTCCTGGCAAATAGAAGGGGAAGAAATGGAGGCAGTGAGAGATTTTACTTTCTTGGGCTCCATGATCACTGCAGATGGTGACAGCAGCCACGAAATTAAAAGACACATGCTCCTTGGGAGAAAGGCAATGGCAAACCTAGACAGCGTCTTAAAAAGCAGAGACATCACCTTGCCAACAAAGGTCCATATAGTTCAAGCTATGGTTTTCCCAGTAGTGATGTATGGAAGTGAGAGCTGGACCATAAAGAAGGCTGATCGCCGAAGAATTGATGCTTTTGAATTATGGTGCTGGAGGAGACTCTTGAGAGTCCTATGGACTGCAAGAAGATCAAATGTATCCATTCTTAAGGAAATCAGCCCTGAGTGCTCACTGGAAGGACAGATCGTGAAGCTGAGGCTCCAATACTTTGGCCACCTCATGAGAAGAGAAGACTCCCTGGAAAAGACCCTGATGTTGGGAAAGATTGAGGGCACAAGAAGAAGGGGACGACAGAGGACGAGATAGTTGGACAGTGTTCTCGAAGCTACCAGCTTGAGTTTGACCAAACTGCGGGAGGCAGTGGAAGACAGGAGTGCCTGGCGTGCTCTGGTCCATGGGGTCACAAAGAGTCAGACACGACTAAACGACTAAACAACAACAACGTGTTCAGTCTTCTGCTGACTTTGATGTGCAGACCTAGAAATCTCCACAATCACCATACTGCAACTAATATTTCTATGAGAAGAAAGGGGTTGGTTGTTATGAAGATTAATGTCATGTTTGTGAGATCAAGCCAGACATTTTCCACTTGCTGATTGAAGGTCTTGCAAGTTCAAACTAAACTTATTCACATTTTTTTAAAAAAAACAACAACACAAAACAAAACACTATTTCTGTATTCCGCAGCATATAAGCTTCTTATTCTATGTAGCATGGACACAGCCCTAGTAACATACTAAGGAAATGTCTTTCCCAGAAGCATTTGAGTCTAGTTTCAAAGGACTCAGCAGTTGGGTTTTTGAAGGCAACTGAGTTGCTGATTGGAGGATAGACATGTATTTGTTATAGGTAAGTGAAGCTTCCCTACACCCCACCCTGACTGATGATTCCTCCCACCAATGGTTTGTCCCCATTTGTAATCAATGAGAGGACATTTGATATCTCCCAGAATGAGTTAATGAAGTTCAGTATGAATATTCAGTGTGGTCCTCCTAAGACATGTTCATGTGTGTCTCTCCCACAGAAGCAAGACAACTCCGGAAGTAGTTATCTCAGATTTATTGCTTAAACACATAAATCACTGCGGAGCTCAGTCCTCAGTGTCTTCTCCCAAGTTTGCTGTTGGCATGTCTGAGCTCCGCCTCTTCCTCCCCCAGCAACGAAACCCCCACTTTCATTTTCTTTCTTTTTCCCGCTTCTCGCATATTCTCGCGAGCCTACGCGTTTTTGGACAGGCTATTTCCGGTGCGCCTGCTTCTGAGCCCGAATTTGAACTGACAGTTTGTGTTTTCCCCCTTGGACTTCCCCCCTCCTGCTCTTTGTACTCAGAGATTAGTTTTCTACTGCAACTTGGCTGCCCTTCCCCCCTTTTCACATTCCAGGCTTATCTCCTCTCCTTGGCTCTCAGCGTGCTCAGCCTCTGAAAGCTGTGTTTCGTCTCTGACTATGTGTTTTCTAACTCCAAAACATGGTGTTGTACATCTGATTATTTACTCTCATTTCAATACTCAACTCATTAGGGGAGATATGTTCAGATGTGACAAACTAGCTCCCTTCTGCTATTCCACAGTGAAAACCTGACATCAAAAAATGACAATAATTAATTCTTCTGCCTCTCAAACTCCCTGTGGAATTTAATAAGAAAGAAATTGAAAGATGCCATTTACTAAATATAACAATGAGAGTTTACAACTACTGCTTTCCACCAGCAATATTTATTATTCAGGGCAGCATGCCTCTTTACAGACTGAATGAACATACATATTAGCCTTTGAAGCTATAGACACTCTAAGAAGGGAGTTGACAATGGAGATAGTGTAATGTCCCTCAAGTGAAGATTTGTCCTTGCACTCAGGATGCTGACATTTCTGGTGATGCTTCTTGTACTGCCACCTCACACGACATGCAAAGCTCACATTGTGAAGTGTCATGTCCATGATCCACACCCTCCACTTCACAAGTATCACGAGTCAGGAGACGTCATCCTTGGTGGCATAGCTTCTCACGGCTACATCATCTCCAATGCCTTAACCTTCACTGAAGAACCCCCACAGGTACTGCCTGAAGAGTTTATGTAAGGGAATCCCTTCTTTGTTCATTTGAATAGTCCACCCTATAGCTTAAACCTTACACCTGTGTCTTACTGTGTCTTATTTCCTTTTGTATTTTTTTTTTTAACTTTCAAAAAAGAATAGAGCTAAACAGGTAATTTCTCAATTGCCCAGCGCATAGAAGGACAAGCAGTTGAAATTTTTTTGGAGGATACATAAATCAGATGAATGCATTGTCTGAATGCAGGATTATAGAGACATCACCCATCAGTGCTCCATAATCTTAGAAAAATGGATGGATGGTGGGGATGTTGCATAGGTCCCCGAACGTATTAAATGAATGGACTCCACATGGGGGGGGGGGGATTCAACAGTCAATATGAGTTTTTGCAAGTGTGATATGATAAGAATACATATTTGCATTCTTTGCAAGTTTTTTTGCAAGTGTGATATGATAAGAATACATATTTGGTCTCATATTCATGTCCTCTCCGCTCCCCCAACCCACCCACCCACTACACAATTTATTGTTTTGGTTATTGACCACTGATACTTCCATCATTAGGTGAAGTGTTGATTAACGGCCCAGAATGGTTGGCTACCAAAACCTAAACATTGTAATTTCCCTTTAAACATATCTTATGTGAAAAGAATATTGGGTTGAAAAAATGAATGTCCAACGTAAAATTATAGTTATGAATACAACCTGTTCAATTTTTATTTCCAAAAATGCTAAGCTATTACATTTAATTTTATTTTAATCCATAGAAAAGCAAGGCTTGTAGCTTCAACTGTAGAAAGGCAATACTGAAAACGATGAATGTAATTTTCCAATGTCTTTGTTTGTGCTGTTTCAGGCTCCAAAAGAGTTGGTCAAAGGAGCTGTTTATCTTTATACAAAAAGTGGATGTAAGAATATCGGGTTTAAAGATAAATATGCAAATTAAATTACGGTTTTGATACCAATTACTTTTATTTTGAAGTCAAACAATTTTATTGAACTTTCTTTTGGCCAGAAATGAGTATCAGACCTAAATCCATTCTCACTTCTGGTAAAGATGTCAAGCATTTAGGTTGGATTTTAGCCAATACAGGGATGGTGCTTTAAACTTTAGAAAAGCAATATGCAAAGTTTCAGCTTTGTGTCTATAAAATGAGCAGGGTGGTTTCATCATCATCATCAATTTTATTTCTTACCTGTACTTCATCATAAGTTCCAAAGGTGGGTTGCAATATTATTATTTTTTTAAAAAAATACAATCCATAACCACAACTTTAGAAAAACAATTTGCAAATATGGACTTGAATGTAATAATACTATCTCCTGCCCTTGTGTGCTACATTTCAAATAATGGTTTATAGCACAATCCAACAGTGAAATTGAGTAAAATAAGACTTATTCCCAGATGTGTGACTGTAGGTTTAAAAGCTTATTTGAGGGCAGACATAGACTTTGTATCACATTGAGTAAAGCTATGTTGTACCTTTAACAGAACGCCTCTGATTATTATGTGAAAATTTTCTGGGTCATGAGTAATTTGAAACTACGGTACCTTCTGCATCAAATTGGTAATTGGCAAAGGATAAGCCACCAGACTGCAAGGGGCAACCCAGTCAGATGGGCAAATATTATTACTACTACTACTGCATTGGTGAAAAATCAGTAATTATAATTTACACAATGTAGGTTATCTTTCTGATGCATATTGCAATTCTCATTCCAGCGTAGTGCCTAAGAATTACCAGCACATCCTTGCCTTGGCATTTGCAGTAAAGGAGATCAATGACAACCCTCAGATCTTATCCAATACAACCTTGGGCTTCCACATCTTTGACAGCTATTTCATTGCAAGGGGGACTTATCATGCCACAATGCTCCTTACGTCCAGCCCAGACAGATTCGTCCCGAACTACAAATGTGACACTCAGAATGATTTGATAGCCGTCATTGGGGGACTTGACCCCCTAACCTCTCTTCATGCAGCAACAGTCTTGGATATCTACAAAATTCCACAGGTATATCAGTCTCTGTGCTGAGTACAATGGGTTTAAGGGGGTTTTCCCTTAATGTTTGTATGGCCAACCATATTTCACTTTGTGGCTTAAAGGTTAAAATATGGAAAGTGGTGTTGTGAAGAAAAACATAACCTTAAATAAAAAATCCTGAATCTGTTTATACAAAAAAGAAAAACAAAAGAACATTCTCTCACACACAAACATGCATGAGGTTCTTTTACCTTTTCTTACCTTTATGTGTTTCATTATCTGAGCTTATAGAGAATTCAGGATCAGCTTGAATGAAGCTAGTCACTCCCCAAGAGAAGTTTAGATGCATTAACTCAGAGCAGAGAATAAGGTGATTTAACAGAGTTCCAGCTTTGTTAATCTTCATAGAAGATAATTATTGAGAAATATATTAAATCAGCCACAAATCTTTGGGCAGATATATATGAAAGACACCAGGGACACAAAGGTCATTGCCTCAGAAACTTATAATATGATGGTTGATTTTATGATGGAGGTCGGGTGAGAATTGAAAATGGTATGGGAGGCAGATCTTGGAGTGCTCTTCTCAGAAGGGGAGTGGAAAGTTATGGAGCATTGACCCCATCTAAGGAACATTTTATTAATAATTAGGGAGACTATGCTAAAATTATCAAACAAGTAGCATTGCATGCCTACTAGTTTGCACCACTTAAATTTGATGTTCTCTCCATTGTTTTTGCAGAGATGCAGGCAGGAGGGTGCCTATATGAAGGGAATGCATATATTTAAAGGATTTGAGGTGCCATAGAAAAGGATCAGCATAGATCCTGCATGAATCTCCCTGATCCAGAAAAATACTGTTAATGCCATTTGGGCAGTGATAACCATCCCAAATGGCATTAACACTCTTCTGCAAATACAAGCAGATGTTATAACAAAATCTGGAAAATGAAAAAATAATAATGACACAATAAAGTAGGATGTCGGGGTTGAAACACAGTGAGACTGTTTTTCTGAAACATGACATCCTCTTTCATCTCCATTATCAATACTCATATTTACACTCCTCTGGCTCCAGCTTTTAGAGTTCAATTTGAGGGCATCCATTCATAACAAAGTAGAACACAAGAAACACGTTTCATTTTTTAAAAGAATATTTTTCATTCGTTAATTGAACCATAGGAACCAAACTCCATGAGCCATGATAATTTATTTATTTATTATTTTTAAAAAACACTTGATGGTAAAGAATATCATAAAAACAGTTAAGAGAAGAGAAAATTTTAAAAAATCAAGAAAAGAATCACCACCATAGCTTAAAACATATAAAAGTTAAAATACAGCAGCAAATTTAAATTACCTCAGCTTTCTAAGAATCTGAGTGGGCTAATCTAAACCAAAAAAAAAGTTTTAACAGCGATTATAAAGAGGACAGTGAAGCCAACCATTTGATTTAAACAAGCAGGGAGTTACAAAGTGTAGACACTACCAAACTAACCAATCAAGTTCCTCTTATAAATGCAGAAAATATATTATGAAGCACCAGTGGGAGTGCCAAGTATGCCAATCATAGCGGTCAAGTAAGCACTTGTAGGGTAAGGTAGTTCTCATAGTTCTGCATTTTGGATGACTGTGCTGGTGTACATTTAAAAACATTGAAGAAAAACTGACTGAATATCTCCATTAAAGCATTCCTATTTGTTCTGTTCCTTTTCTGCACCCTCCTCCCTTTAGCTCACATATGGTCCTGCTCCCATCATGCATGATAAAACTCCAGGCCTCTCCTTCTACCAAATGGTCCCCCAGGAAGCCCTTCAGTATGAGGGGATTCTCTCCTTACTTCTGCATTTCAAGTGGATATGGATTGGGCTCCTTACGATGGAACTTGAGAATGGAGAACAATTTGTGCAAACAGTGGTTCCAATGTTTTCCTCCAGTGGTATCTGTTTTGCCTTCATAGAAAGAATCCCCAAAGTATCTTTCATCACCGAAGCTAAAGACTTGGTACAAGAGGGTGCGAAAATACATGATAAAGTAATGGGTAGCAATGCCAATGTTATAGTCTTCTATGGAGAATCTTACTCAATGATATTTCTTAGATGGTTTCCATATTTATCAGAAGAAGAAGAGATGGGAGAGGATGCAAGAGGTAAAGTGTGGATAATGACAGCCCAGATGGAGCTGACTTCTGCAGTTTATCAAAGGACTTGGGATACACAAATAATCCACGGGGCTCTGTCTTTCACAATTCACTCTAATGCTCTACCAGAATTTCACAAATTTCTTGAACACATAAGTCCCTCCACCACAAATGGTGATTATTTCATCAAGGACTTCTGGCAACAAGCCTTTGCTTGTGTCTTCCCTAATACAGTCACAGATGTTATGGATCTGAATATTTGCACTGGAGAGGAGAACCTGGAAATGCTTCCTACACCTTTTTTTGAAATGAGCATGACGGGCCATAGCTACTGTATATACAATGCTGTTTATGCCATGGCCCATGCTGTCCATGCCATGTTCTCATCCAGACTCAATTCAAGATTACTGGAAGACAATATGAAGCTGACATCTCAGGTTTATCAGCTATGGCAGGTAATGTGGCCAGATTTCCCTTGAGACTGTGTGCCATAAAGGTAAAGGTAAAGGGACCCCTGACCATTAGGTCCAGTCGTGACCGACTCTGGGGTTGCGACGCTCATTTCACTGTTTGCCATAAATTGGTGTTAAAATAGTGCAGTAAATTATCTCTCTGATGGTTCTGGTCCTTGTGAAATGCAGTTAGCATTGTCTTCATCTGTAAAACTGATGTGAACCTCTCTTTTCTCTCTTTTCAAAATCTAGTTTCATCATTTCCTCAGAGGAGTGTCATTTAATAATAGTGCGGGAGACACAGTTTCCTTCAACCAGAAGGGGGAGTTGGAAGCTGGGCTTGATGTTATTAATTGGATTGCTTCACAAAACCAATCCTTTCATAAAGTTGAAGTTGGGAGAATGAATCCCCAGACTTCTTCAGAGAAAATGTTCACCATCCATG